AAACATTTTTTTAAAAATACTTTTTTTCAATTAATTTCCCTTGAGTTATAATCTTGGTTACAATTCTAGCTTGTTCCATATTGTAAATAAGGCAACAAAACCAAGCTATGCTTCACAGATGAAAAGGGTATCGATCACACTCCTTCCTTATCTTAGATATTAACTATGAATTGCTTTTTTTTTAAATAGAGGTAGTGTGTTTAGCCACATATTATGCCATTCTTGCTACTTCCTTAAACCAGAACATATATAAGGGCAACATGATTAGCAGGGGATAAGAATATCAGCTATATTCCACAACAGTTAGTAGTTACACTGTTGAGTATTAGCTGTGATCATTTCTGTAATGAGCTCTTAAAGGGCCTTATAAGGGCCCAAATACACAATTTTAGTCTTATTAGCATCTCTCCAACCTTTGAACAAATCAACCCTAAGTATGTTATCAATCTAGACTGTGCTTAAAATAAATCTCCTATCTGCTATATAGAAAAGGAATCAGAGGTGCCTGGGTGGCTTAGTCGGTTGAGTGTCCCACTTCAGCTCAGGTTATGTCTCATGGTTCACAGGCTTAAGCCCTACTTCAGGCTCTGTCCTGATAGCTCGGAGCCTGCCACCTGCTTCAGATTCTGTGTCTCCCTTTCTCTCTTCTCTCCCTCTCTCATGCTCTGTCTCCAAAAAAATAAATAAATAAATAAAATAAAAATAAAATTAAAACATTTAAAATATTTTTTAAAAAAGAAATGGAAACATACAGTAAATACTTTGCTTCAATTTAGTGACGTTTTCCTCTACAACAAAATTATTTGCATTATCTATATTGCAAAAATGAACTGTTACCCCCAAAAAGAGACACCAATACAATATCATGGAAAGTAGCACAGTACTGCTGTCTCTAACTTAACTGTGAAACCCTGAGTAAGTCAGTCATCTGCCATCTCATCTGTACCAAATTAATCAATTTTAATTTGGCAAAGAGTGATGAAAAAAAATGTGGTACAGTTTTTCATTCATTACTTTAAATTAAAGCAAAGTAATTGGCTTAAATGAGCTTTATAACTGAAATAGCTAAATGTAGTACCTCAAGAGTATTTTCTAGACAATGACAGTATACAATACGATCAACAGTTTAAAAGAAAAAGTGTTGCCTTAAACTAATGGGCCATTAGCTCTTCTGGACAAAAAAAAAAATCTTTCTTAAATAATCTAAAAAAAACCTTAACAATGTTGAACATTGTTAAATTACACAATTATTCATTAAATGACTCATTTAAACCCCATTACTCTATGGATGGAAATAATGTGATACATTGTCTACTTATTCCTGTAGGACTGTATACACTACACACCTTTCAAAAATGACTAGTAAACCAGATGGACTGATACACACATTACCTGATACATATTAGGTCATACTAAACTACTGAAAGCCAAGTGATTGACTTTAGCATTTATCATATGCTGAGATGTACCTGGTGATTGGCTTTCTCTCATGCTATCCTCAATCCCATTGCAATCTGTAGAGCTGTATTACTTTCAGTCATCTTGCTGGATCTTATCTCTGCTGCCAGTTCTGCTGCATATTGTTTATCACTGTTCCTAATGCCCTTTGCCACTCTCTACCTACCCACATCCCATTGCTATACTGCTAGTCAGTACTTCTTTTCTCTGTTGCTCTATTTTTATTTTTCCTGTTTCCAGGCCTTCTCAGCTTCCAGAAAAAAGAGATCTACTTCACAATCACAGTCAGCCAATCAATATACTCCTTTCCTTCTGATTAGAAAGAAAAAAAAAAACAAAAAAACAAAGCAGGTCGGGATGATCCTTGGCTTTTCTGAACTGTTTTCACCGTAATCTGATACTCAAAAGTTCATTCACTGTTACAAAAGATGCTTTCTGGTCTCTTTTACTTCTAAGTTTGGAGTTACTGCCGATACTTAGTCTGTAGATAAAAGAAGGTTTTACCATTATAGTATTTTAGGGTTAAAAAATCAATAGAAGACATGAAAGCTGCCTTCTTAACCCTTAAAGATTCACCAGACAAAAAACAAAAACTCCAAAATTTTCTATTAAAAGCAGATCTTAAAATAAATGAATAGCACTCCAAAGAAGATATACATAGGGCCCTAAAGCATATAAAAAGATGTTTAACACCACCAATCATTAGGGAAATGTCAGTCAAAACCACAGAAGATACTACTTCATACCCATTAGGATGACTACTATCAGAGAGAGAGAGAGAGAATATATATTTGTCAAGGAAGTGGAAAAGTATTGGTGAGGATATGGAGATACAGGAACCTCTCTGCATTGCTGGTGGGGATGTAAAATACTGTAGGCACTGTGGATAACAGGAAGGTAATCCCTAAAACATTAAACACAGAACTGACATTTGATCCACCAATTCCACTTCTGAGTATATACCAAAAAGACATGAAAGCAGAGACTCAAACAGGTATTTGCACATTCCTGTTCAGGGTAACCTTATTCAAAGTAGACAAAAAATGAGAACAACACAAGCAGTCACAGTCAAATGGATAAAAAAAAATGTGGTATACACATACAATGGAATATTAGTTAACCTTAACAAGGAAACAAGATACAACATGAATGAACCTTGAAAATGTAATGCTTAGTGCAACAAGCTAATTACAAAAGAACAAATATTGTATGATTCCACTGACTGATTTACATAAATAGAGACTGGAAATTCAGAGACAGAAAGTAGACTGGTGGTTCCATGAGGCTGAAGGGAGGAGGAAACAGTTAATGTTTAAAAGATATTGAATTTCGGGGCGCCTGGGTGGCTTAGTCGGCTAAGCGTCCGACTTTCGCTTGGGTCATGATCTCGCCGTTCGTGGGTTCGAGCCCCGCGTCGGGCTCTGTGCTGACTGCCAGCTCGGAGCCTGGAGCCTGTTTCAGTCTGTGACTCCCTCTCTCTCTGACCCTCCCCTGCTCACGCTGTCTCTCTCTCTCTCTTAGAAATAAATAAAAAACAAAACAAAAAAAAAAAGATACTGAATTTCAGTTGTGGAAGATGCAAAGCTCTGGAGATGGATGATAGTGATGATTGCATGATAGTATGAATGTACTTAATACCACTAATACGTACAGTTAAAAAATGATTAAAGTGGTAAATTTTGTTAAGTATATTTAACAAACACAGTAAAAACAATTAATGAAAAGTAAAGTTTACAATAGGGCAGAGGAGTACTTGTTACTTAGTTATCCGTTGCTACTATGCTTTATCTGACTCTAAAACAGCACATGTAATGTATCAACTGAGTGAGTGACATTTAACTTTGTTAGTGCTGAAGACGAGCATGGAAACCACTCTAAATATCTAAGGACTTCAGAATCTCCTCAAAGAGGTCTGCAAAGTTGAAGAAAACAGTCTGTCAATAAAGAAGATCTCTCATGCACACACCAAACTACTCAATAAATACTCATTTTCGAGATTTTTAAATTCTAAGGACTTCATGCCTACATCATTGCTATTCTAGGATACACCAAACATACACTTGCCTCACCACCTCTGTTATCCTATAACATCCATCCCCACATACCTGCAGAGGTCACTCATTTCATTTGGATGTCTAATCATATGCTCCCTTATCAGAGAGGCCACTCTTGACCACACTATGTAAAATAGCATCCTCTGTAATTCTCTCTCCTCATAAAGAGTTTTATTTTTTCTTCATAGCTTTTATCACTACTTGATATACAATTACTTGCTCATTTTTTTCCTCCATCTACTATAATATAAATTCCAGGTACACAAGGACTTTATTTTGTTCACTATTGTACCCTCAGGACCTAGAACACCACCTGGCACATTAAAAGTGGTCAATAAACATTTGTTGAATGAATGAACAGTTGATGTTCACAGCACAATTTATCATATTTCCCCCTCGGTCCTGATACTATTTTACCACCTACCAGGCTTGTCACGGCCACCAGTCACTACCTCAAAGCCATCCAGAGTACCCCTGCCTTTCACAGGCCAAGTGGAAGGAACACCAAGTTTAAAAGTTAGATAGAAGCCTGGTACCAGGAGTGACAGTAATATCTTCATGAGGCAGTTCAAACAGTGCTTGCTCTATGACTGTTTCTAAATACCCTAAATGAATGAATACAGTATATCTGCCCTCAATATGGGATACAGAATAAGGATAAAGAGTTCACCTCTAACACTGCTTTAAAATAAAAAGATACCAAGTATTACATATAACAAACATCACATTGCACCTATTTTGATAAACATTACAAGGCACTTGCTAGTCTGCAAATCACAGGATTTTCCCTCTACAACTTTTCAGGGGAGGTGGAATAACAGACAAATTCAAGAACACTAGCTGTTAATAAATACAACTAAATTTTAACTAGTTACTTGGCCCAACAATCACATATTCGGGAAGATTAGAAGACTATGTTACATCTGTGGATGAGGATGACAGAAGGCTGCTTCAATTATGTATCTAACTTTATTTCAAAGTCAAAAGTTTAAAAATTCATTCCAGCCAAATGTCCCACCAGCGTTCATGCATGTTACAAGTTTTGAGAGAATTTTATAACTGCATTTTAATCTTCCGTTTGCAGTCAATGCCTTCTGGTAAGGCTTCGGCAGTTAATTATAATTTTTAGAGGAAAAAAATGTTTAATCAGACAATAAATAACCATCCCTCCAAAGAAAGCGTACGCGGGCCCGTTACTCTACGGTCTCTAGGGCTCACCGAACCCTACATGTTCAGTTGCAACGAAAGTCATCCAGGAAACACACGTGTCCTGCCCCGCCTAATAAGTGAAAAGAGCAGGTGGAACTGCTCTTCAGTGGGGTCCCGGGACAGGGGACACCGGTGCGCAGGGCACACGGCGTGCGCCGTGGGCAGTCAGGGGCCACAGGGCCAACAATCCCCGCCCGACACCAACCAGGCCAGCCCCTTCCTCTAATTTCCGCCCGGGCCTGGCCCCGGAGCTCACATCCCCGCAAACGCAGGTCCTACCTGAGCTCTGCCCCCAGCTACAGGGCTGCGGGGGGAGGCGGGAGGAGGCGTGGCCTTCCAGCTCGCCAGTGGAACTCCCTCGTGCGGTTGTTATGACTTTCCCTCTCGGGATCCGCGCCCCGACCAAGTTCGAGCGGCACTTCCGGGGTCCGCGGCGACTGAAACGTCATTGCGCATGCGACGGCGGCGGCGACAACCCGGAAATGGGCGGAGCATGGTCGCTGGGTTGGTTCCTGTGGCGCTAGGTGGGCTGGGAGAGAGAGGCTTGTGGGAGGTAAGAGTTTGCACTGTTCTTTCCCCCGTGAGCCCTGTTCGCTTTTCCTTCTCCGGTTCTTCTGAAGCGAGAGACCCCGCTTCCTAGGTATCTTTAGAAGATGGGGCCACTTTGAAGTCTCGCTCCTAGAGAAAATTAGAAAACATTTGCGAGACTGAGCTTGGAGCTAATTGCCCACTCTCCCATTCATGTTTTATTAAGCTTTACGCAGTCCATTCAACTTCAGAAAAGACAGGAGGTGGACAGTCTAGATTTGGAAGGGTAAATTTACTTCAAAATTATGACTTATAAAGTAGGACATTAAGATTAGGATCCCGACCCTGCTCTTTTCCCTATCTCCTGAATACAAGTGGGATAGATTGGAAACAGTTGTGGAAACCTGTCGTCACGTGGCTATGGTTTGGCTCTAAACGCAGGCTTCCTAGCAAAATTCCTGATAGTAAAAATTGCCCATGAAAATCTTTAAGTGACCAACAAAGTCAGAATACTGTGTTGAGCATGAAGTCTAGATCTCTAATTCTTATGCAAAATTGAATGTGAGACCTCTTAGGTAGTTTAAGTGTTGGAATGAAAGGAAAGTTTGTGTATTGAAACCTGGGCATTTAAACAATCCCGAGATATACAAGGGACAACTCCTAAACGTCAACTTAACCATTCAGTAGCATTTGACGCAGTTAATTACATCCTTTTTCTTGAAACTTGAAACACATTCTTCGTTTAACTTTTGTGAAAACATGGTGCGCTTTTGATTCTCCTTTGATAGATTCTTCCTGATTTCTAAAAGTTATGCTCCAGACCTACTCCCCTCTTTATCTGTCCTCATTTCCCATGTGATCTTATCCATTCCCTTCGTTGTCTTTTACATAAGTTCACAATGCTGATGACTTCCAAATATCCATATCTAGCTCTGACTTCTCTTATTACTATATTTACACATCCAACTTCTTACTCAGGTTATTTACATCTATATTTAACATGCACATCAAGCTCTATATTTTCTACCTCCAAAAACTATTCCTCTTGCATATCTCTCCATATCAGTAAATAACACTTGGATTCTTAAAACTGTTCAGATTATCCTCTGATTTCTCTTTCTCCAACATCCCACATCCAATTTCACAGCAAAATATGTTGGCTCTCTTTTCAAAGGGCACCCTAAGTCTAATCAGTTCTCAACACCTCTACAGCATTATTCTCCTCACTGGATGCTGTAATTGTCTCTTAATTGTTCTGCAGGCTTCTATTTTTGCCTCCCTACAGTCTAGTATCTATCTGGCAACTATAGAATCCTTTTTTTTTTTTTTTTTAATTTTTTGTAAGTATATTTATTTTGAGAGAGACAGAGACAGTGTGAGCTGGGGACGGGCAGAGATAAAGGGAGAGAGAGAAACCCAAGCAGGCTCCACACTGCCAGTGCAGAGCCCAATGCAGGGCTCGAACCCATCAAACCTTGAGATAACAACCTGAAGTGAAACCAAGAGTCCAAACTGAGAGTTAGACACTTAACTGACGGAGCCACCCAGGCGCCCCCACAGAATCCTTTTAAAATGCATATACGGGGCACCTGAGTGGCCCAGTCAGTTGAACATCTGACTTTTTATTTCAACTCAGGTCGTTATCCCAGGGTTATGGGATTGAGCCCCTCTTCTGGGGGGCCTGCTTGAGATTCTTTTTCTTCCTCTGTCCCTTTTCCCTGCTTGTGTGCACGCTCTTAAAAAATAAATAAGATAAATATAAATAAAATGTATATCAGAACTTGTTATTTTCCTCTTCAAAACTTTTAAGCGCTTCTCTACCCAAGTAGAAGAAAACCCAAAATTGTTTTCATAAAACTGTTAAGATCCTGCATGTTCTAGTCCCTGGCCCCTCCATGCTGTCACTGAGGAAGAGGAGTGTAAGTGATTTGGAGATGGGGGAGTGGGGTGCAAAGCTTGACCAGTAATCTTGGAGTTTGGGAAATGGCAGTTCCAAAGGTGATTACCCAACTCTCTTGCCTGGAAATATTTAAAGGGAAGAGACTACCTGAGGGTGCCTGTGATGACAGAAAAATAACTCGAGTTTTCCCAACAGCTAATAAACATTGGTACATGGCTGCTGTATTTGTTTTCCAGGGCTACCAATAACAAAGTACCTTGAACTAGGTGGCTTAAACAACAACAAAAAAAATCATTGTCTTACATTTCTGGAAATTAAAATGAAATTATAAGGAATTATTGGTGCTTGCTGAGTGCTGGGAGGGAAATTTTGTTCCAAGCCCCTCTTGTAGGATCTGGTGGTTTGCTGGAAATGTTCGATGCCCCTTGGCTTGAAGATGCATTATCCCAATCTCTGTCTTCTCATGGTATTCTCCCTGTGTATTGTCTTTGCATCCAAATTTTGCCATTGTGTAGGGACACTAGTCATATTGAATTAGGGTACACCCCAGTGTACTCATTTTAACTTGACGATGTTTCTAATGATCTTATTTCCAAATAATTGTGAGGTACTGGGCTTAGGACTTCAGTGTATCTTTTTGAGGGTACACAATTCAACTCCTAGCACTACTAGAGTTGTTTTGAGAAAGAAGAGAAGCATTTCTAGTAGAATGAAAGAAAGGAAAAGCAAACCAAACCAAGGAGCAAGATGAGGTGGTATGAAGTAAGCCACCAGGAGAGGATCTGCATGGGAATTTTGATATACTGCCTGGAACATTCATTCTGTGTATCTGGGAAAGGCAGTGTTAGAGTTTCTGAATTTGGGTGAATCTCCAAAATGTGCACAAAGTACCTTCTGACAGAAAGCATCAGCTCTTGGACATCTGTTACAGAGAGCACCATGGTCTCTGTTTAAAACAGATTTTTCTTCCCACCCCTAAGTTGATGCTAATGGACTTCTTCCCACCCCTAAGTTGATGCTAATGGGCTAAGTAACAGAATGACTGTGGAACATAGAGAAGTAAAAGGTGGAGGAATCAATTTACCCTCTTCCTTCCAGTCATATTTGTGGGCCGGGCCTGAGCTAAGAAACAGGATACACTAAAGTGACTTACAGGTTTCCAGTCCAATACATAGAGTTTGGAGCTTGGAGGTCAGTCACTTCCATCCTCATAATAAGAAAAAAAGCTGAACAAACTAAAAATCAGCAACTCTTTCTAAATCCATGAAAGAATTGAGGTCACTAGGAAAACTACTGAGAGACAGGCATTTAAAGAGCACAGCTTAGAGGGAGCAGCAGGAGACAGAAGGCAGACAGGAGACAGACAGTTGGAACACCTAAACTGCAATTGACAAATTGTTGGAGGCTCACCATGGACTACCTTGAGGATCTAAACTCATGGACTAGCTTGGAAGATAAAAATTTTAAGTGATCCTGCTTGTTGTTGTTGTGGGGGTAGGGGGAAGGCCACCCACATTTTTTTGTGAGTTTTACCTTCAGGGGCCCTGTCAGGTTCTTACTATGAAGATAGGAGAAAAATCTTCTTCAGTCAAAGGGAGAGGAAAAGTGACCATTTTGAAATATGTCTGTTTTCCTCACCAACCCTACCATTAAGGCAAACTATTTTACCTGACCAATCTAGAGGACTGAAAATACTCAACCCCATTCCACTCTAGCCTTTGAAATGGGAAAAGTGAACAATGTGCAGGAACAGAAGGAGCCTGCGCTCAGATGAAAACACTAAGGAAGAATCAATGAAATGCTAGAAAACTAAAATACAAACACAATGAAAACAGAAACAAATGAAGAAAAAAAAAAAAACTTTGGCTCAGAGATAGACTGGACTCAGAGAAATAATGTAGGTTGAAGATATATCAATAGAAAGTCCTAAAATACAAAGAGAAAAAAAAGAATGAAAAACAATAGAAGAGAATATGCAAGTACTCTTGAGGAAATGACAAAATGTGTAACAGGCATAATGGGAATATTGTAAAAAGAAGTAAGAAAGAAAGAAGGAAAAGAACTATTTGAAGCAATAATGTCTGAACATTTTCTAAAATTAATACAGATACAAATCCAGATCCAAGAAGCTTAGAGAATTGCAAACTATAAAAATACTAGAAAGTCTACACCTGTGCATATATATTTAAAACAGCAGAAAATCAAGAACAAGAAAATCTTGAAATCAGGGGAAAAAATATCCTTGCTTAAGGAGATAAAGAGATATGAATTGCATTGGACTTATCTTCAAGTACTGCAACAAGAAAGTAGAGTGAAATATTTAGAGTGTTGGAAAAAAAACAACCCACCAACCTAGAACTTGATATCCAATGAAATTATTCTTAAGAGGTAGAAGAAAAATATTTTTTAGGCAAACAAAAACTGAGGGAAACTCACTAGTCGACATGACCTGCAAGAAATGTTAAAAGAAGTTCTTCCAAGAAATGGAAGTGTTACAGGTCAGAAACTTGGATCTACATAAAGAAACAGAGTTGTAGAGAAGGAATAAATAAATTTATTTTTTTTATCCTAAGTTGATCTAGTAGATAACACTCTATTCAAAATAATAATGTCCAAATTGTATTCTGTAATTAGAGCTTGTGGCTAAGTGAAATGAATGACAGCAATGTTATAAGGACTGGAGGGAAGAATTTAAAATACTCATACTTTCATTAGCCATAAAGGGGTATAGTGTTACTTGAAAGTGGGCCTAGATAAGTTGTAACTGTATATTGCAAACTCTAGGGCAACCACTTGAAAGAGTTAAAAAAAAAAAAAAAAGGTCAAGTCTGATATGCTAAGAGGAAGAGAGGAGAGAAACTGAAATCATATAAAACTTTCAATTAAAATCAGAGAAGGCAAAACAGAATGGAAGGCAAAACATTAAAAGAAAGAAG